ATAATCATAAATGCCCATGTCTTTCTGTACATTTTTGTGTCTCACCTAATAATCACTCTCCTTGCTTCTTCCGTCTTTGGTTTTCGATTGTAGCGTTCTACACGTTCGATTACCGTTAGTTGTAAGTCGTATTCTGCCGTAGTCAACTAGAGGATGTGACAACAACTACATTTTTCTACTCAGTATCACTATTTTTGGGAAAGTAAAGAAAATTCATACGGAAATTTTACTGATCCTTAGGATATGATTCAGTCTGTATTTCGAAGGCATATCTGTCTTTAATTTTAATTAATGTAGCTTACGCAGTTCTAACAATCGAACATCTATCATAGTTGGTTTGTGATTTGGTTTATGATAGCAAATGAAATCATCTGAAAATTATACACATTCATGAACGTTGATCGCCTATCACAAATTACTACTGCATCAAAACAAGCATCTGTCTTGTTCTGCCGAATTATTTCAAAAGTCAATTCATCTCTACACAACTGTGCCTCACCATGTAAACTCTCCTTGTTTGTATGTCGCTCTAGTTTATTTAACTAGGTAGAAAATGAGTTTGGGACAAAGATGATCACATCCTACACAATTGTCGATATGTTCTCTGAAAGTGAACTGATTATTACTTAGTCCAGAAAATAAGCACAATATTCAATTACTTTGATATCCACAAACTCTCTCTTTCTCTCTAGTAGTCTATTGTGAATGTTTAAGATAATGGTAAACAAAACACTTCACTGATTAGAATATCGAGTTTATGTGCAATACAGATCTTTCAGTTCTATTTGTCTATCTTTTGAAATTCTAAAAGATTAGAATGCACTCCATCATAATCCAACGATCACTTAAACGAAATAGGTTAAGAAACATATCGACTGATTGAAATTCACTACTCACTACTCAATGAACAAAGCATTTTATGAAATAAATACATTTTAAAAGAACAGGTTAACATGTTTTCAATCTGGTTATAATAATAAATGATCACCATAAATGACATTAGACAATCCCATCTCATGATTATTCATTTGCACATATTATTAAGGAAATAATTGTGAAAGAAAGAAGTTAGCTCGATGTTAAAATATAAAACGCAAAATTAACAGGAAGACGTTTTTCCAAAAGAAATAAAACAGTTTTACAACATACAGACTCTATCTGCATGTATGTGTACATATCACAATAATGTAAAACAATGAATTTGTCCTTGTCTATCACCGGCAAGAATTTTCAATTGACTATCACCATCAAGAGTATAAAGTTGAGTGATTTCTGTCTCAACTGGATACATAGCAACCTTTAGAGAAAAAGTGATATTCATCATTGAAAAAATTGAACACATTCAATACAGTAACTTGAATTAATACATTTGACTATTGAAACAGGAAAATTAAGTGAAATAGAAAGTACGGCTGGTCATCACACATTCCATACATGTTGACTGACTTATAAACGTGACATCGATTCATGAAGTCACTTACACAATTAATCTGAAACAGGTTGATAGCTGCAGACTATATAGTTTGGGTTCACGTGTTTATATTGACCAATGGTTGAAGATATTCGATATGGGTTAGAATCAGTCGCTATGGTCAAGATGCATTCACGTTTTCCTGACTTTAATTACAAAAACCGTCTTATACTTTTCTATACCGCGAACTTATTCATTCTCATTGACTGGTTGACTAAAAGATTTCAATAATAAAGAAAACCATCGTTGCAAAATAAAAGAGTGGGTAAAGTCGAACAATTTTGAGCATGAGACAATCTACTATTCACTGATAGTGTCGACTTGAAATCGTGAACAAATGAACATGAATTCAATAATCAAAACATATTGAATTCAATGTGAAATCCAAAGCTATTTTGTGCCCGATGATCTGACTCCATTTAGATTGTATGGATGTTTGTTATCGCCTTTTCTCGTGTATCATCGTCGACTTAAATCGCGTTATCCAATAACGAAATTAAATAAGTCGAATAACGAGAATTGACTTGAGAATACATATATTTCGTACATGAAGCGAATAAAACATAGCAAAGCAAAAATGACACGTATGGAAGATGGCTGGGAAGCCAACTCCATTTCAAGCCGGGCATTACTCAATGTTTATAGGCAGACAAAATAAACTACAGACATGTGATGAGTCATGGGACATGAGGTGTACACACATATACACTCATATGAAAACAGTCAAGGCTAATAAGCGAATAATTAACAAGGTCAAAACATGACTCAAGTAGAATGAATAGAATGGAATGTCCGGAAACTAGAATAAGATATATTATGGGCTAAAACTAATGACTAGCACTACAGCTACACAACATCACTCCATGATGTAAGATTGTTGAAAGACCTGATATAATACTAAACAGCTTTGAAGGGTTCCCTAGATTCCTTTTTTGTATATTCTTCACTTGACGATTAATAGGTAATGGAAGCTAATTGCAAATTAGTTACTATCAGAATATAATAAAGCAAGCTATTTTAATGTGTGATAAATTAATACACTCGGTTTAAATAATCTGTACAATTGATAATTTAGTGAACAAAAGTAGATCACCTTTATTTGTATTGATTATATTATAGTACTAATACTGAAATGTACCATCTGAACTCTGTTACAACTTGAAATCAACACAACCCATTAGTAGGGCTCAATTCTTAATGTAAACATCAACACTGGAATGCGGGTACATTCAGATGGCGAGTCCTGAAGATTTACACAAGACAAGCCTCTTCAGATTTACTAACTAAATACATCTCACATAGCAAATATACTCAGCACAATCTACTTGAATATATTAGGTCACTGAAAAGGTTTAATCTTTCATTGGCACATTACTATGTAAACAGGAGGAAATTATGTAGCCATAATGATGAGCAATGTAATTTAATCTGTCCTCAAAACTTCAGTCGATTATCAATTTCGAATATCTGAAACTTATGACTGAGAGCGTTTCAGGGTTGATCTCCAACCATTCAAACTTAATAAATGCCGATTGAATGACTTTATGAACACATGAGGCAGTTGTCCAACCACGAGAGTTTAAACTATACTAAAACAACATTTGTCCAGGTAACGAAAGTGATCAAAATTATCCCGTAGCTAATTCACATCGTCCATTGACATTAATCGAAAAAAATCAAATTTATAAATCATCGTTAGGTAATAACTGCTTAATCAAACAAGATGTTAACAGTAATAAAATGAATCAATGTTTATTGATGATTTGAAAAGTTAGAATTTTATCAACCAGAATAAATGTCTTCATCAGGATAACTACTGACTACATGCATCATTGATAAACAATGGGGATCTGGCTTAGATGTGAAGGCTCGGATTGTCAAAGCAATGGCAATATTCCTACGATTGAAGAACATCTGTAACTAAAAATAACTACGAGACAACATAAAAATCAGGATCTTCAATAAAAACGTCAAGACTGTGCGATTGTATGGAGCTGAAACTTGGTCAACTACCACAAGTATTTATAAACAATTTTCTACGCAAGATACTCAATGTTTGTTGGTCGGATACCATCAGCAACAGCCTACTACTATGGGAGAGGGCAAACAAGCTTCCAACTGAAAAGGAAATTAGGAAAAGACGTTGGAAGTGGATAGGACATAGATTACGGAACCTTTTAGTGGCTCGTGAATCTGACTCCAAGATCGTATAAATGTTTGCTATCGCTTATTCTCGTTTATCATCGTCGACTTAAATCGCGTTAGCCAATAACCGAATTAAAAAGTCAATTAACGAGAATGGCCATTGAATACATATATTTTGTATGTAAAGTGAATGCAATAGAACAAAGTGAAATGAGCGTAGGGAAGATGGCTGGGAAGCCAACTCCATTTTAGTCAAGCGTTACTCAATATTTATAGTCAGACAAAATAAAGCTACAGACATGTGATTAATAGGATAAGAAGGGCACACACATATACGCTCATATAAAAACAGTCTAGATTGATAAGCGAATAAATAACAAGGTCAATGTATGGCTCAAGTAAAATGAATAGAGTGGGATGTCCGAAAGCTCGAATAAGGTATATGGGCTTGGCATAATAACTGACGCTACAACCTATCCAACTGCATCACAAGGAAAGCGCTAACTTGGAATCCTGAAGGGAAACGGAAAAGAGGAAAACCGTAGAACCACCAACGTCGGAAATAGAAATCAGACATCAAAAGGATGGATAGTAACTGAAAACAACTGGGAAGGATTGTCCAGGACAGAGTTGGATGGAGGATGCTGATGAGTGTCCGACGCTTTACGAGCGGCGTAACAGGAACAAGTAAGTAAGTAACACGATTAAACCGTGCTCATTTCGTCGCAAAATCATCAGTATGATCGGAATCGTCACTGCACAAAGTGAATATATTCCTTCGAGAAATATTGTTTGAAAAAAGTTATGACGACGATACAAAAAACACTACCCAAAATCACCAAGCACTAGGTACTAGTTTTGTTTCACATACAAAACTCCTCAGTATTGCACAAACTGCTACTTCTCACCACCACAATAGTTTTCACCAAGTTCCCTAACTCACATTATTTCATGATGAAATTGTTGCAAAACACAATGGTAATAAGTTAAACCAACCAAACACAGAAACACATTATTTAAAAAAAGACCAAATAAGAAAAGAAAGCAAGAGTGAGAAGTTAGAAAAATACCAGTTTAGTTATCACTGTGTAAACATGAACTAATGGAAGAACTACAATTCTAGAATTACATAATCAATAACTCATGCAAACAACCAGATATTCAATTCAACTTATGTAGGCAAACATGGACATGAGTAATTACATATTTTCAATAGGGTTACATTGATTCATTGCATTGTCAACTGACAAATTAACCAAAATAACTAACTGTGCCTAACAACATTCAACAACATTCATTCATTCATTCATTTGTACAGATAGGTGAAGATTATATGCACAAAATGAACATATTTACTAGTTGGCTTTTTCCATACCAGTCTTACCTGTTTCCACTGTTTTGAATTCACCACTGTGATTGGATTGTTTATTGCACATCCTAGAACACGTAAAATATTATCTGATGTTGCAATTATAAGATAGATCAATGTTGAACTATTGTCTTCAGTTGGTGATAGTAACTTCGCACAATATCCAGTAACTTTTATTGATGAATTATCAAGCTATTCCAAGGAGAAAAGAAAGTATTCACCATGATGTCGGTAGTTCTACACTTTGCATCGGATTGAATAAAACGTACAAATATTGACTAAAGGATTAGAATATTATTAATAATAATAAGAAGAAATACGCCACAGAAATCGAGAGCCAACACCAGACATATTATCAACAATGTTTACATTTGTACAACGTAAACAATATATTAGGCATAAAAAATCACTGTAAAATCTGTCACCAAATCACCATTTTCATTACAAATCAGAATTTTCCAACAATTGATAAGATGACATTCAGCCAAATACAATCTGAATGAAAAAGAAACACAAAGGACAACTACCGTTAAACATTCACATTACAAGTATCAGTGATTGTAGGTCAAAGAACTCAACACACAGGTGATAGTGAGATATACACAACTCGAAACAAAGTGACGATTTTCTGGAGCACTAATTTAGACAAATAAAACAACATTGATCTACCACCTATAATTGGACGACAACAGATTTTCTGTATGTTATCTGTTGCATACTGCTCTCTGAAATAAGTTACTTTAAATCACAGTATATATTAAAATGTTGGTTGATTGAAGGGAATGTGTAGAAGATCAATGTATCTATGTGATAAGTCTTTTCACCGAACGCCTCGATCAAATAACCTAGCCGCTTCTAATAGCCTTGCACTAAATCGACACAGAGACTTGAACACAAGAGAAAATGTGTAAAGTGCAAAGGCAGGTTTTACTCAAAGGTTACGGTATGTGCAGAAAATCGTCAGTATTCATACTAATTGGAGTGACTCTGATCGCTCAGATGCATACTAAATACAACAATAATAAAAAGGTAATTATCCAGTCGAAAATTGCACATGTGATCTGTCGACCATCTAGATGTTTAAAAAAAGTAGGATTTAATTTGTCCTACAGATATACTATTGGAACCGTAAACGCGATACTGACGATCACAGAGTCTATATGAAATCTATAGTCAGAACACAGACAACTTGGCCTCAAACTTTATCGGTTTCTGAACGTAAAAACAATCAGATCAGTACAATAATTAAGAAAATTACAGTTATTAAGTGAAACGCACAAACATACCGACCAGCATTGCGCGTCTTATCGAAATGAATAAAATTATGAGTCACACTAATATAATAGGGTAATAATGTCTTTCAATTGGTAAGTCACATGCAACAAGGATAGTTTACAGACACATCAGACCAGATCAACGTGGTGGGTGCTTAAACAACGATTCTATTGGTTAGTTATGGACATAACTAACATCCCCCAAGCGGAAACCACGTCCAGACTTCGTTACCGTCGTGCTCAAATAATCGGCCTCTTCCAGTAGACACAGGTTCCGTATGTCCCGGCTGATCTCTTCGGTTGCTGTCTTCAGTCGAACAGTTCTGACTCATCCATCTGGACCATAATTGACCTGTCTAACTATAGCTTTCGTCCACAGATTTCTCGGTGATCCAATATTACTTATCAATAATTTCGAGAGAACGCATAAAAATGAGTTAGTAGTTATTTTTAGTTACAGATGTTCTTCAATCGTAGGAATATTGCCATTGCTTTGACAATCCGAGCCTTCACATCTAAGCCAGATCCCCATTGTTTATCAATGATGCATGTAGTCAGTAGTTATCCTGATGAAGACATTTATTCTGGTTGATAAAATTCTAACTTTTCAAATCATCAATAAACATTGATTCATTTTATTACTGTTAACATCTTGTTTGATTAAGCAGTTATTACCTAACGATGATTTATAAATTTGATTTTTTTCGATTAATGTCAATGGACGATGTGAATTAGCTACGGGATAATTTTGATCACTTTCGTTACCTGGACAAATGTTGTTTTAGTATAGTTTAAACTATCATGGTTTGACAACTGCCTCATGTGTTCATAAAGTCATTCAATCGGCATTTATTAAGTTTGAATGGTTGGAGATCAACCCTGAAACGCTCTCAGTCATAAGTTTCAGATATTCGAAATTGATAATCGACTGAAGTTTTGAGGACAGATTAAATTACATTGCTCATCATTATGGCTACATAATTTCCTCCTGTTTACATAGTAATGTGCCAATGAAAGATTAAACCTTTTCAGTGACCTAATATATTCAAGTAGATTGTGCTGAGTATATTTGCTATGTGAGATGTATTTAGTTAGTAAATCTGAAGAGGCTTGTCTTGTGTAAATCTTCAGGACTCGCCATCTGAATGTACCCGCATTCCAGTGTTGATGTTTACATTAAGAATTGAGCCCTACTAATGGGTTGTGTTGATTTCAAGTTGTAACAGAGTTCAGATGGTACATTTCAGTATTAGTACTATAATATAATCAATACAAATAAAGGTGATCTACTTTTGTTCACTAAATTATCAATTGTACAGATTATTTAAACCGAGTGTATTAATTTATCACACATTAAAATAGCTTGCTTTATTATATTCTGATAGTAACTAATTTGCAATTAGCTTCCATTACCTATTAATCGTCAAGTGAAGAATATACAAAAAAGGAATCTAGGGAACCCTTCAAAGCTGTTTAGTATTATATCAGGTCTTCAACAATCTTACATCATGGAGTGATGTTGTGTAGCTGTAGTGCTAGTCATTAGTTTTAGCCCATAATATATCTTATTCTAGTTTCCGGACATTCCATTCTATTCATTCTACTTGAGTCATGTTTTGACCTTGTTAATTATTCGCTTATTAGCCTTGACTGTTTTCATATGAGCGTATATGTGTTTACACCTCATGTCCCATGACTCATCACATGTCTGTAGTTTATTTTGTCTGCCTATAAACATTGAGTAATGCCCGGCTTGAAATGGAGTTGGCTTCCCAGCCATCTTCCATACGTGTCATTTTTGCTTTGCTATGTTTTATTCGCTTCATGTACGAAATATATGTATTCTCAAGTCAATTCTCGTTATTCGACTTATTTAATTTCGTTATTGGATAACGCGATTTAAGTCGACGATGATACACGAGAAAAGGCGATAACAAACATCCATACAATCTAAATGGAGTCAGATCATCGGGCACAAAATAGCTTTGGATTTCACATTGAATTCAATATGTTTTGATTATTGAATTCATGTTCATTTGTTCACGATTTCAAGTCGACACTATCAGTGAATAGTAGATTGTCTCATGCTCAAAATTGTTCGACTTTACCCACTCTTTTATTTTGCAACGATGGTTTTCTTTATTATTGAAATCTTTTAGTCAACCAGTCAATGAGAATGAATAAGTTCGCGGTATAGAAAAGTATAAGACGGTTTTTGTAATTAAAGTCAGGAAAACGTGAATGCATCTTGACCATAGCGACTGATTCTAACCCATATCGAATATCTTCAACCATTGGTCAATATAAACACGTGAACCCAAACTATATAGTCTGCAGCTATCAACCTGTTTCAGATTAATTGTGTAAGTGACTTCATGAATCGATGTCACGTTTATAAGTCAGTCAACATGTATGGAATGTGTGATGACCAGCCGTACTTTCTATTTCACTTAATTTTCCTGTTTCAATAGTCAAATGTATTAATTCAAGTTACTGTATTGAATGTGTTCAATTTTTTCAATGATGAATATCACTTTTTCTCTAAAGGTTGCTATGTATCCAGTTGAGACAGAAATCACTCAACTTTATACTCTTGATGGTGATAGTCAATTGAAAATTCTTGCCGGTGATAGACAAGGACAAATTCATTGTTTTACATTATTGTGATATGTACACATACATGCAGATAGAGTCTGTATGTTGTAAAACTGTTTTATTTCTTTTGGAAAAACGTCTTCCTGTTAATTTTGCGTTTTATATTTTAACATCGAGCTAACTTCTTTCTTTCACAATTATTTCCTTAATAATATGTGCAAATGAATAATCATGAGATGGGATTGTCTAATGTCATTTATGGTGATCATTTATTATTATAACCAGATTGAAAACATGTTAACCTGTTCTTTTAAAATGTATTTATTTCATAAAATGCTTTGTTCATTGAGTAGTGAGTAGTGAATTTCAATCAGTCGATATGTTTCTTAACCTATTTCGTTTAAGTGATCGTTGGATTATGATGGAGTGCATTCTAATCTTTTAGAATTTCAAAAGATAGACAAATAGAACTGAAAGATCTGTATTGCACATAAACTCGATATTCTAATCAGTGAAGTGTTTTGTTTACCATTATCTTAAACATTCACAATAGACTACTAGAGAGAAAGAGCGAGTTTGTGGATATCAAAGTAATTGAATATTGTGCTTATTTTCTGGACTAAGTAATAATCAGTTCACTTTCAGAGAACATATCGACAATTGTGTAGGATGTGATCATCTTTGTCCCAAACTCATTTTCTACCTAGTTAAATAAACTAGAGCGACATACAAACAAGGAGAGTTTACATGGTGAGGCACAGTTGTGTAGAGATGAATTGACTTTTGAAATAATTCAGCAGAACAAGACAGATGCTTGTTTTGATGCAGTAGTAATTTGTGATAGGCGATCAACGTTCATGAATGTGTATAATTTTCAGATGATTTCATTTGCTATCATAAACCAAATCACAAACCAACTATGATAGATGTTCGATTGTTAGAACTGCGTAAGCTACATTAATTAAAATTAAAGACAGATATGCCTTCGAAATACAGACTGAATCATATCCTAAGGATCAGTAAAATTTCCGTATGAATTTTCTTTACTTTCCCAAAAATAGTGATACTGAGTAGAAAAATGTAGTTGTTGTCACATCCTCTAGTTGACTACGGCAGAATACGACTTACAACTAACGGTAATCGAACGTGTAGAACGCTACAATCGAAAACCAAAGACGGAAGAAGCAAGGAGAGTGATTATTAGGTGAGACACAAAAATGTACAGAAAGACATGGGCATTTATGATTATTAGTATTGGCTATAACATTATTATAATCCGGCCAACCCGCAAGAAGGCGAGCTATGCAACTGTCCAATGGCAGC